CTAAAAGCCTTTGGTCAAACCTTTTCTGATGATATTTGCTGAGTTTTATTGGTTTATCGCATACTGATTTCTGATTGGCTTGGTTGGACAAACTTTATGCATTTTCAAGCTCAGGATTTAAACGCTGTATAGCCCTTTCTTACATAAAAAGGAATAAGTAGATTTCATTGAGATATTAAAAACCTAAAAAAGGTTCGTGGCCTTGCGTCTTTATTCCTGAGATATGGAAGTTTTAATGAATTTTCTCTGTAGAATCTAAGATTTCTCATACGATCGTATTTCGACTTGTGACCTGAAATTTAGCCGACATCAGAAGCTAACATAGGCTAATACAAATACGATTAAAATTATATAAAGAAAGCAAAGATTTCACTCCTACTTCTAAATCAAAAATTTTTTTTTTATCGTAATTATTTTAAGAACTTCTCTTTTTGTCATTTCTGGTCGGTTGCGATTAGTTGAATAAAATGTTCTAAGTTGTAACTGAACATTAAACTTTTTTCATTTGAATTAAATAATTAGAAAAATAAGAACATTTAAAATTATGTTTAATTCTACCTAAATTCCAATTTTCCCTGACACAGATACAATAACCATTGTTCTATAACACATACATCCGGGGCATTTCCGTCCGACTAAAAATATTTTTGCTTCTATTTAGTTTAATATAAATATAGGACGTTTTAACCTTTTTGTTCTGAATTAAAATAAAGATACATCGCGAGATAAAACTATCTGATGAGTTCTTTCAGCAAGGATGAAATCCGAATCACATCGAATTATCTACCATACTCGCCCTCCTTAAATTATATATTGTGTAAATCCAAACATTAGCCTAGATTATTTAGATTAGAAAATTACAACATTTTTATAAAAAAATCCTTTAGATTCACTGTTCCCATCTCGTGCGTGAGTTTCTGAAGACTGTCACCATACCTACTGGAATGGATGTTGGTTCTACCACGAGAAGACTACCGTACTTCTTCACCATTTCCTCGTGATGCAAACTAATCAGCCATTTCCAATAGTAGTTGAGTTCATACCAACCCCCGGCCACTGACGATCCAAAAGCTTCGATGCCGTTGCCAATCATAGAGAGCGCAGCTACAATCTCTGGAGTACTGTCCAGATTGACCGGAATAGGTCGAGTGAGAAGAGTGTCGAAAGCAGTCAACCATCTCGGGGAGTACTCCTCTCTGCATTTGATGAACTCGTCAAAGCTAAAGAAAGGTTCTGTCGCAGGAACTGGTACAGTATATTGCTGTTGTAGAGCTTCGTTATAGGTCGTTCCATCCTCCCATAGTCGCTTCGCATTTTCATAATCTTCACGTTCCAGTTTCCTTGCGATTTCCAATATCTGTTCTGGATCTTCAGGTAGATCTTCGCGCATGGCCAACAGCTCTACGAAGAAATCCTTGATTTGCAATCCACCTGCAGCAGTGGGCCAGACGTACCATCCGACAGGAATATCAGTAACCCTAAATTTCTCTGCTAAGCTTGGTGCAAGTGCTCCAACGATGTTTCCGTTCGTATTGGGGAACAGTGTCTTATGGATTCTATCCAACACATCAATAACATTGTCGATATGTGCTTGACCGTACACTTTCGCAGGGCTACCAACATTTCGGATAAAAAAGGCCATGTATTTGTTGTAAACCTGCGTCCATGCGAATATCGATTTCGTCGCGGTCAATTGGCGCTGCATCTCAGTCACATGTTCGTCCACCATTGCTAGGTCAATGATAAATTTGCCTCCAGAAGTTGCATCCATCTTCAGAAGACCCCAGCGTATATCACCTTGCGGTAAATCAGGATGCAGTTTATCTTTATCTCCGACATGAATAGATCCTGTCTTCGCTTGATTAAACTTTAATCCTGCTAAGGCAGCAAAATGGGTCATTGTCTTCCACGCTTCAGCACAACGAGCAGATTGTGAATCCAAGAACCAGAAGTCATCATGAATACGATAGAAGAATATACCATTAGTTTTCCGATTCACGGCATAATCCATGACGAAGAGCACAGCTTCACCGCAGAATGCGCTCAGAGAATGCGCAACAGGCGTTCCACGTTTCCGGATCCGCGGTAAATTCGATGGTGCAGACATGTATGCAGACGGGTCGGCTAAGTAACTGTTCATTGAACCAGTGAACTTGAGAGGGCAAGCTAAAAATGCTTCTATGAACTGCAAGTCGGATTGAGAGACTCCAAAAAATTTCAGAATCGTGAGTATCGTTTTATGAGCAAGGGATGGGCCAAACCATTCCAAGTCTGTTCGAACGACAGTACATTGGTGATGTAAGGCTCGATTCAAGAGTACCTCGGCGCACACGATGTGCAGCAGGGACTGTTTAAGCTCTACTGGAGTATCAAAACGAAGTGCATTTTGCGCATATTCTTCTGACCATTGTCGACGTCTACTATTAAAAGCTGCTATTCTTTCATCATCTTCGTCAACATCATCGTAGTCATTGAAAGAATCAACGCTATTTGGCAACTGGCACATGAAATAGTGCGATTGCTGGAAAGTCCGTCGTCTATGGTCAATTGATTCGTATACATTATTATCGTTAAGAAACATTGTTGATCGTGCCAGGTCTAGTTTGGTGAGATTCGGAGGAGGCGCCTTCCATGCCCGAGAACTACGAAGTTGCAAGAGGGCTGCTTTGAATTCTATCGACCATTTCGTACCAATGTATTGGAGGAGTAGGCTAGTAAGGATCTCACCATCCAGAAAGAAGCGAATTTTCCCGTTTATAGCTCTCCTTGGTTCGGCTGAAATTCCGTCCTCTGGCCAGTGCCAAGTTTGTAGTGAGCGCAGCTGCATATTGAGCACACTTGCTAGCTCCTTGACAACTGTTGGATTTTCTGCAAATTCCTTCAATATTGTTTGCTTTGCATCGGACAGAAGATCGGCAGCCAACAGGGACTTGATGCACCACTTCATATCATGTTCACTAATCGTAGCACGTCGTAGATTATCTCCGAAAGCTGTAAGCCGTGCTCGCAACGTTTTCAGTGCCTCTTGTGCTTCTTCTTCACTGAAGAGATCTTCCAGATATGCTTCAAGTCCAGGAACGTCGATCTCTTTCTCTCGGAATATGATTGACTCGAGCTGTGACTTTTGTTCCATAGAATCCGTTAGACTGAGTTTTTCAAAATCGTCCTGATTAGTAGTTTCCATATTCTGACACGTTTGCGTATCGGTTGTTCCAACACCGTTGTGCAAGGATGTGAGCCAATCCGTGAGAAGATTGCCAAAAAGTTTGGCGTAATCATACTGGGTGCTCTCATGGTTGATTCGATTCGTCAATTTCTGGACCCAGTCCTGTAGCAGTGATTGAGCAAAACCTGGATCTCGTTTCGCCTAGCAAATAGAACGATAGAAATAAAGTAGCGGTGCTACAAAAAGAAGAGCTTTATAAACATACCTGACGTAACCAACGTTGGATATTGCCAAGGTTAAGATTTCCATCCGAAATCCGCAATCCAGGCCATGACTTAATACCTTCGAGAAGGATTGTTACCTTCTGTATAAGATCGTTGTCGTATTTTTGTGCGTCAGCCAACACTTTGGATGCGTGTTGCCTGAAAGCGTGACGGCGTTTTTCCAGTTCTTGCAGTTTGACATTTGTAACGAATTGAAGCGTTTCGCTAAATGCAGCAGACGACATAACAGTTAGTTGAAAGATTGAAAGGCTAATTGGATTGTATCACTTTAGCTGTGTGCTCTAGAGCAATTGCTTTCTGCCTTTCTACGATTGACTTTTATACGCGATGAAAAGTATTGCACGTGTAATATAATACTCTTTCACGATGGTGGTGAAAGCAGAAGGTAGAAGGACGGAGAATGAGAAAGAAAACACTAGAAGGTGACGTCAAAGTAAGAGAAAGAAAAAGAGCGTCATATTTCTGTTTTGGTCCTTGCTTCATTTATATATAGACTTGCTTTTTTTTTGCCTTGTCTTGTACGTCGAGTTATGAACGTATACTGTCGCACACAGTTCAAGTGATTAACTAAGAAGATGAGCTGGAGATTAGTTGATGATTTATTGCAAAGAAATCAGCGCTATATATAGCACGCAAGAACTGATATAAATAAAGATCAGTTTGATGAAACTGAACAACAATAAAGCAAAAAATAATGTAATTCCACAAAGAAAGGATGATGAAACTACAACAAAAGATCAACTGATGCAATGTGCACCAGCGCGTGACAGTGACGAACTATCTGATGCAATAAAAAAGAACGAGATATGATAGAACAGAAAGAAATGACGCAATGTGTGACGATGTATAGATCACCATCACACTCTAACACGGGTATCACAAAACCAGGCTCCGATTATGGTTATATGAAACTTTCCACTAGCGAGCAGACGTAAGAACGTATAAAAATAATCTCACCTGTTGTTTGAGCTGTTCCGAATAAGTTTTTGTGATTTGTTTCGATAGATTTTGCTTCGTTTCTTTGTATACTCTACACGATAAGTTTCTTACGTCAGCTGTTCTTTCAACTCCCACAGGACAGTGTTCTTTGAGGTATCGTGTGATAGCACTGTTATTCGGTAACATTGATACTGTACAATTATTATTACCTTATGTCCTTAGAACTGGTAAAAAATTGGTGATTAATCGTGATATATCGAAACAATAGTCGTCTGCTAATTCAGAATAAATCGTGAATTTTTCTCCGTTACTTTTATTATAAAAATTACATGCTAATATTGTTTTACGTAAACGAATTATTAAATAAAAACAGCAATAAAAATGCTGTATACAATTCTCCATAATTAGACAAACAATCATTTAGAAAAAATGAAAAATACAAGAAAACGTTTCTATATAGTAACCGATGTTTGAACTTGACTTTTCTTTACGGATGATTCTATGTATATTTGTTATCGTTAATAAACTGAAAATCTATGAAAAGAAAGAAAAAATAAAAACTATCAATAACAAATATACGACACCATATGATGATGATGATAGAAGACATCGTTACATAGAAGAAAATCAAGTTTTTTTGACTGCCATATACCACAGAAATATCGAATTATCTGAACTAGATCTATGTGAAATAATCTTAATTAAAAAAATACTTACGAGAAAAATTTATCTAAAAAGAAATTCTCTATTGTAGAAAAACGTTTTAGAACAAATTTACGTTTAATAACTGTATGAAAATTATATTTAATTATCAGTTTAATCGATATTGAAATATTGTTTGAATTACATCATAATTCACTCCTTCTTTTGTCGTACACAACTATAGACGTATCTCTTCTCTGTTCGCTCGCTCTACCTATAGTAGAATTTACGTATTTACTTATTACGTGCCAGTGACTCATCTTTATTAATCTTAATTAAAGATGAGTTCTAGAGGTAATCAGCCTCATCAAAATAGTTCCACAAATAATGATCAAGAGGATACTCCTACCGCTAAAACAGATAGTTCTACAGCTAACCAGCAACAATCATCTCGTAATACACCAAAAAGAATAAAACAAAGCGATCATTCATTCGAACTTGAACATCGAAAGGCCACTATACCCAACAAATATTTCAATTAGGGTGCTTCACGCCAAGGTTTGAATGCAAATCCGTCAAATTCTATAACGAGTGCTACAAATGTAACAACTCCGCGCCCATCATTCCCTCCATTTCGAATTAGATTTGTTGGTGATAAAATACCGTCTGAATTATCAATCGTCAAGGACATTAATAAACATTGTCGTATTAGTCTTTCACATGGTCACTATTTATCATCGGGACAAGAGAAAAATCTTTCTCTTATTTGCAAATTCAAGTGATCATTTCAATCGTTTAATGGACAAGAATACTTGGCCAACAAAAATTTGCTCGTTGAATTTTTCCATCGACTTTCCTACAAAAATTCCATCTTCTTACTCAATTGTTGTTTCAGGTATTCTGGTATAATGGAATCTAATTGAATTTAAAAATGGATACCACTACACTTCGTCCCCTTACAATTCGTCCCTTATAATTCGTTCCAACTACTTTTCATCCCCTTAAAATTCGTCACCTTACATTACGTCCCAAATTTCGACTATTCTTTTTTATGGCAAAAATATCAAATAAAGTTGATTTAAAAAATTCAAGTGTTTATTTTCAAGTTCATAGCATTCGAGTTAAATATTCCTCAACATCGTTGATGTCATAAGACAGTACAAGCCTAAATAAGCGAATTTCATCTATAGAAGTTGAAAAAAGCCATATATGCACTAAATGTTCCGTTCAAGAATCAGTATTTACATTCTTTTAATGTCAACAGATTTTTTCACATGTGATTATAATCATTGAATCATTTTCATTCAAAACAAAGCTTTTCCACGATCAGTTGCTCGAAATATAAGAGGTAAAAGACTATTATGATCAAGTTGCATTGGTGGTCGTTCATGACGAATTGTTTGTAATAATGCTTCATTTGAAGGTAAACTAGCACTTAGAGTCAATGGAGTTTGACGTAATACATCAAATGGTATGCGTTAGCTCCTGCACCTGATGATGCACCAAGAATTTTGATTTCATTTTTAAGTCGAACGATGTGAAGTCGATTTTGGATAAGCCACGTGAGAATGTTCAGATGATTCTTTTATTAATATGTTTCTGTCGACAAAAATTTGACGACAACCAAAAAAGATAACATCAAACAAACTTGAAATATTAGGTTTAATAATTTATTTTTACGTCTACAATTTTGATCTTCACAACGAAATATACGTTTTTCTTCTGTAATTCGATGTTGAGTGTACAAATGTTCAAAAAAATAAATCATTGAATTTCCTCGAGAATCCTTCAATGCTTCAATCGTATTCATTTTTTAAACTAGTTTATGTAGTTGTTCGAGATGGTAACAGCCACTAATACACGTGAACAAATGAAGAATAGAAAATTACTGTTGATATATGTATAGAGTAGAGAATGATATCTACTCATTCTTCATTGGCTTTTAAAACCACAATGATGCACTAGACACCGCACTGAATATTTACACAACGTCTGCTTTTGGATAATTATACGGTTAATTTTAGTAAAATCATGAGATAAAATGAAATTGGAACGAAATGTAATTGGAACAAATTGTAAGGGACGAATAGTAGGGGGACGAATTGTTAAGGGGACGAAATAAACGGTCACCCTTCATATTAATTTTATCTTTATCGATATCGTCGATTTTTTGAGAAAGATCGAAGCTTTTGGATCCCCTTTTTATTTCTTCGGTCGTATCATATTTATGTATATTTAATTTATTTCCATTGAGAGTGAATAAGGGAAAAAGGGAAAATGATAATAAATATTTGTTCTTAATTCCCAATATTGTTCACAGAAGACTGTCAATCACAAGACAACAATTGTTTTTCTTACAGAATAAAAGTTAAACAAATTTACTCCACAATGTTTTAAAATTTCCCATATTCCACAAAGACATCAGACGATGTTTCAATGTACTCAAATCGTCAATGGTTTCTTTAACTGGTGTGATTGTATCAACTTTTTTTGCCATCGAATTTGCTAACCATTGAAAGCCTTCATGAAGACCTTCATTTTGAATAGCACAAGCTGGTTGTAAATGCCATTTAACATTTTCATTAAGTGTAGTTAAATTGATTTTCTCTTGTATTTCATCCAATGACATTGGATTGAATAAATCTTGTTTATTAGCAAAAATAAGAATAGGCTTATTTTGAAGTTCTTCTTCTTTCGATAATTGAAGAAGTTCATCACGTACTTCATTAATTCGTTCTCTATCCGTTGCGTCAACAACAAAAATCAGTCCGGAAGCTCCACGGTAATAAACTCGTCGGAAAGCACGAGTTCTTGAACGCCCACCCTCTTCTATAACCAATAGAGAAGTGTTGTTAACTTCTATTTTTACAAGCTCTACACCAATCGTTGGGTTAGCTACAGCATCTTTGCCAAACTTTTCGACGTTGAGCACAGTTGTCTTCCCTAAGCAAAGAAAAGGTACAAAACAAATGTGGACGTTCTTGATGCACAATCAATTTGTTACTCATCATGATACCAATTTTCTTACTAATTCATTGCACTTTCTCAAACATAAAACACTCTCATAGAGTCAAAAAGCAAGAAATCATGATTGAAAAATAATTAGTACACAGAAAATCGTTAGAAAGAAATTTCATGACTTAGACTGACAGCATAACAAAATTCATCGGCCTATGATTTGCTCTAGAGGTTTAAGAGTTTGTTTCGTAACTAAAATCGATAATATAGCTGATTTTTGACAGAAAGATTTCATAGAAGTTTCTATCGAATAATTGTGCACTTTTTGGCACAAATATTTTGGATCACATGTTCTACGAAACAGACGTCTTATAAGTGATTTTTGATTAAAATAAATTTTCTGTTTGATTTCCTTTTCCGAACGCTACATTTCTATTGCTGCTTATATATGTTTGCTATTAGTTTGAACATCGGTTTGTGCTAACATTGTTTTAATAGAAATGTTGCCTCTATGTGAAAATTGATGAATTTTGCAGATTTTAGATTCGTACTCAACACAGTAGTAATATAATTTATAATTCGATGCAAAATTGTATATAATTCCTATGTTCTGCTTTAGCTTTGTCAAAATTAGGATTTTATGATTTTCTCTACATAGTTCGAAATCTATCTCAATCGAATGTCAAGCTGAAATAATGGTACAATGAGCGAATATCCGTAATTCGTCCTTGAATACTAATTCATATGGTATAAATCGAAGAACCCCTTCTTGGCAGTTAAGCACATGTGCTGCATTCAAAAGTTTAAACGTTTTCGTAATAGAACCTAAAATGAACGTAAAAATACTTCTTGAAATGCCTGAGAAAGGTACTAGAGTATTTAATTTTGTTGATGTATCTTAATCTTCGCTACTAAACTTATCTTACAAAAACACACGCCTCAGATGTTTATAAGATAAAAAAAGCCTTGTCACATTCTAAAAGTGATTTCTTCCCTTAGAAGGTGTTTTTAATGTTGATTGAAAGTCCATATAGAGTGTTGCACTAGCTCTTAAAAAACAACGTTTTCAATGATTAGAATCTATGAATACACAAAGCGAGAAATTATAAAAACCTTCAATATACGTACCAGCTGCACGAAGTCCGCCTATGAATACTCGCAACGGCTTCTGATCGTTAGTCGTAACAATTATGGATTTGTGATGTGATGAACCCATTCTGGTTAGCGAGATTTCAAATGACTTGACAAAATAGAAATGTAAAAAATCGTTTACTTTCTACCAAACGTAATTATAAGTCAGTTGTGGTAGTGGGTGAGTAATGCATGGGTTTTCACTACTTTGACTACGTAGAAAAACTTGCACAAGTATGTTGCAATTCATTCTATGACTCACCATATAGGGATCAATTACTGCTCTTCAATACTTATTGTTACCCGTGTTGCGCTTGTTAATGCGCAACAGATACTGATATTTAGAATTAATTATATGAACTTCATGATCTATATGAAATCAAAAACAAATATTGAAGCAAACAAACTTTGACAGATTATGATTTTCAGTTATTGAATAAATATGGATTTTTAAGATCATTTCAGTTTAAGTACGCAAACAACACCAAGCTAGATCTAAATCATAAACATGAAGGTCAAATGATACATTAGAACTCTAGAGTAATCTAGGGTATCGATGTGAATGTGGGTGTTAGTAATGGTGGAAAAAAATATATACACACATACCCACTCTCATCGACGCTAGTTATGTGAAACAGCAGTCGACCGTAATAAAAAAGAAGCTCGATGTGAATAGTTCAATACCATCTATACCTACATTTTAAATACTTTGTAATTATTTCATTTGTTGCATTCCAAAAATAGTTCATATTTCCAATTTTTAAATTTGAGATTGAACGAATTATTTCGACAAAAGTACGACTAGTGTTTTGAATTCCTAAGACAAACATATATATTATAAGAGTAAAGGTCCAAGATTAACTTGTAAGAAAACAGTTATAACAATAATCTTAACTGATTTGGTTTTAACATACAGGAGCAAGGTTATGGCCATAAAGGAATAGAAATAAGTTCAGCGCTGCCAAAGATGTAAACTAACTAACTTGGGGTGGGGGTGTGTGTTATATTTTTATTTCTACTCTCTTTTATTTCACTCTCACATTATTACCCATTGTTATCACCGAGATAGCAACGTGTTGGTATGACAACAGAACGGAACAAAAGAATACTTCTCCCTAGGGAATCGAATCCATGTCTTCTGCTTTCCGGGCAGCTATATTACCACTGTACTAGAAAGGAGTGCATATCATTCCTTCTTGATTCCGTCTTATGATTGAAGGGGAACACTTCAGAAATAACAGTGTAGATGTGGGGTGTGGGTGTGGGTGTTTTATTAACCCACATGACCACCCGCACTCGCACCCACATCCACACACACCCACACCCGTCCTGAACAATTTTATGTTCATGAACAAACACAAACAGTACGAACAGTGATGACTGGTAAATGTGCATTTCGTTATGGGATTGAACAACATGTTAATGTTGAACAAGAAAAATTAGCATTAGCAACTATAACGAATGAACCACCACCAAGCTATTGATCAGTTTTTAATTCACAGAAAAATGCTATTTGAACAAAAAAAATTAATTGTATACTATTGTTTTTTATTTGTTGTTGTTTTGCTTTTTAAAATATATAATCTCGTTTTAAAAACGCTTAGTTTTTGTTTTCTTGTCTATGAAATGTAAAAGTCATCACTAAAACTTTTTAGTTATCAACGGTAAAATAAGTAGCACTGAGAAGTCCGAGACGATTATCAGTGACATATTGTTGAAGTGGAAAACGTAAACGATGTTCACTATCGATTTTCCTTTCCGGAATTTTATCAATTGATTGATAAAGAAAGAAGATGTACCGATGAGGACCAGAACCGACTGGAGGTGCAGGACATTTATATGCATCTATGCAACAAATCGAAAATATGAATCTAAAATAACAATTATTGAAAATATCTCACATAATGTATGACCATCTTTAAGATCTTTTGATTGAAAATTAGCTACAAGCCAATGAAGAATAGGACCTTTTATCGGATCATCACTGCTTGGTGCATCAGGATCGACCATAATCTATCTTATTAAAAGAAATTTAGAAACATTTTAGATAATTTTTATTACCAATGTTCGATAACTTTTATCATCGACATCATCAACTTCGACCTGAGGTTGCAATTGTGTTTCGTCTTTGCTGTAACGATTACTACCATCAAGACTTTCATCTTCATTGTATTGAACACGAAAATGTTTTTTGTGTCTATGTTTATCGCTTGTTATTTCATCCAAATGTTTAAACACATAGGCAACATCTGAACTAACACTTGAACTCATGTTTAATGTGTTAAAAAATAAAATTAATCTGAAAATAAAAATCAACCTTTCTGGTTATATGGTTTATTTTAAATGCCTTCGGCAAGTAGTGTTATCTTATCTTGCCTGCACATGTTTCTTACATCTTTGACTTATAATTATTCTGTCGGTGATAAAAAGCAAATCTGACTTTATGTAAAAATCTTTTTAACTACAACTAAAAAAGAACTAAAGTTTTTCGCTAGAATAAATATGCAGATTATCTCTAAAATAATCATCAACATGGTTAGACGATAACAGTGTGTGATGTTGTTGCAACTAATAGGCGTGTTCGATGAGCAAGTTCACCTAAGCTAACTTTTTCCAATCTTGACCAAATAATGTTAAAATCAGATATACCCTTGTCGATTTAGTTTTCTCATGGAACACGCCTATTCTAAATGATGATCATATTCAAATTTTTTTCAGATGAAATTGTTTACGTTTATTTCAATGAATAACAGGAATCGATCCATCACTATGAGAAGCATCACTTCTAGCTGATTAATATAATAAGAATATATATTGATGTGGATCTGTACTCGATGATGGTACTGTACCTTGATAATCAGCTATAAAATAACAAACAAAACAGTTGAATAATTTTCCACAAAAAGAAATTTATCAAGAGTTTTGCCATGTTCAAAATGATTTCCTTGAAATCGAGTTTAAACCCAATGTAGCCATGGATCAGCACGTTCATTGTCTCATTAAGAAGCATCAAAATTGGTCATAACCTATTGAAACAAAAAGTCAACAATAAACAAAATAAGAAAATTTACTAATATAAAATAAGAATTTTTTGGATCAGGTTCAATCTTAATTTGAACTTTAGGTACAGTTTGAGTATCTGCTTTTTTTAATTCATCACCATCGTGCATTTGTCGATCATGATAATGAACGATAAGTTCATTATTTTTACTTTTTCTAGTATTATATTCGTCCCGAAGATGATCAACATCAGAACTGATATTTGTCATGATGATGAGAAATATGAAAGTGAATAATAATAAAGAAAACATGCGATCACAATACGATGCCAACCTGCATTGATTTATATAAATAGAAAGTACGCAAAAGGGGAGTATTGATTTTATTTATAGGCGACCTGTGGAGGCGATTGACGTACATACTTAAGAAACCACTACAGTGGTCGAACAAAAGACTCCAGTAAAAAAACTAATTCTAGATGGTGTACTATGTCGGCTTAAAATTATTAAAAACAAGAGATAAAACATAAAAGATAACAAATTCGCTCTAGAAAAGAGAAAATTTATTTATTGAAAATATAAACCTATCACATTCAAATAACTGACAAAAACAGAATCCGGTTCGAGTTAATACATAATTTACAACTGAGTAATTTTTGATTGATTATCTTCTTTACTATTATATCATTGTTGCCTTAATTCAAGTAAGGTTTCCATTAAAACAGCTTCTAATGATTGAGATAAAATTTCATTGGTTAAGAGTCTGCGGAACAATGACAAATCCCGAAAAATCTCGTTTGTCCCGCCTCGCGAGACAATCGGGACTATTCCGAAAGTTTTTTGAGACGAGACAAACGGGATTCGAAACTATTCAGAAAAACTGATGTCCTGAATTTTCTGAACTTACATGTTGAAACGCATTGTACGTTTGAGACTTCTTATTTTTAATAATTCTTTAAATATTTAAATAAGCTACATACAAGGGGGAAACAGCAGAGACTTCAGCCGTGAAGTCTCGTGAAGTCTTGAAAGTCTTTTGAAGTCTTTTGAAGTCTTCTGAAGTCTCTTGAAGTCCCTGAAGTCTCATAAAGTCCCTTGAAGTCTTTGAGGTCTCATGAAGTCTCAAGAAGTCTCATGAAGTCTCATGAACTCTCGTGAAGTCTCATGAAGTCTCTTGAAGTCTAATGAAGTCTCATGAAGGGGGTGGGTGTGGGTGGCTGCAGGCCCCTCGATGTGCCGGGGGATGCCGAGGGCTAGCCCTCGGCACTGTTTTAGCGTGTCTGCGAAAATTTTGCTATTTGTCTGTGAAATTTTTAGTAGCGCTTAGAGTTCGGATTGAAAGGGACCGGCTGTCGCAAAGGTATTCCAGTGTGCCTAGAAAATCTAGATGAAGACGGCTTTTTTTTTGGTCTTCACTTCTGACTTTTGGGAAAATTGGGAGGCATTTATGAGTACTGTCTGCGAAAAATTATTAGCCACCGTCACTCTTAAAAACAATCGAGAGCCCTGGGTGGGTGTGGGTGTTTCTCTGCTCCTAACACGCCCCATACCCACAACCCACACTCACACCCGAACCCACCCCACACACCTGCACCCATACCCACAACCACACCCACCCACACCCCTCCCTCACACCCACCGAAACCCTCACCCACACCTACACCCTGTCGGTAATGGGGGGAGGGAGGGGGGGCGTATGTCCGTAATGTTCTGTTTCTCCGTTGCTAAGTGTCTGTAATGGGGTGAGAGGAGGAGGGAGCCGCCAAACCTCGAACTGAAAACTACACTCACTATTTTCGAAGAAAATATACGTGAGTTCCACAAAACAGACTTTTGGGAGCAATCAATTTTCAATATCATTCCTGTTCGTGGTTCTCGGAAGACACTAGTTACTCTGTTATGAATAAGGGTATCAATTTATATTACTTTTCATTTAATTTACGCGTAAATTAAATGATAAATAATTTATATTTATTATACAGTAAACGGTAAATGAGACCCCTACTATTTGATAAGTTTTGTTTTTTGCATGTTATAGAGGTTTCATGTAATTTCTATAAGGTTTCTTTTGATACGCATGGAATCTGCCTCTTGAAGTCCTGTGAAGTCTTGTGAAGTTTTGTGAAGTCTTGTGAAGTCTTATGAAGTCTTGTGAAGTCTTGTGAAGTCTGATGAAGTCTTATAAAGTCTCAGGAAGTCCTACAAAGTCTCTGAAGTCTCGTGAAGTCTCACGAAGTCTGTGAAGTCTTTGGAAGTCTTTTGAAGTCCCATGAAGTCTTTAGAAGTCTTTTGAAGTTTGTGAAAATATGAAGTCACTGCGGCTGAAGTCTGTTGAAGTCTTTTGAAGTCCGCTGTTTCCCCCTTGGCTACATAATAGAAAAATGCAGAAAAAACTACTGTCAGATGCCTTCGAATCTGTTCACTATCATTTCGTTTTATCAATTGTTTCACTGCTACTATAATTTATGCATATTGTCTCGTTTAATTAGTGTACTCTGTGCATCAATCAATGTGAATGTGAGGACAATAGTGTACTTAAACTACAGTTTTACCCTACATTAATCTCTTTTTTTCTTACACTTTGGCTACAGACAAGTAAATTTCCATTAATCTTCCAATATTTCATTTCATGAGTAGCAAACTGTTAATTTCATCTACATCTAGAAGTGTTTCTCTGTCAGTACTATGCTGCCAATTATATAAATTAAAAGATAGCTCGTTCATCTAATAGCTATATATATGAAAACAAGTTCTCTATTGGTGGTATAGAAAATATGTGTTCTTCGTCCACAAAACAACATTTTTTTTGTTCCGTTCGATTAACAAGATTTTACGGAACGAGTCGAAAAAAATTCGCAACGGGACAAACGAGATTCACAACACGAAAAAGTTTGTCTCACAGACTTCTATCATTGATAGAACTTGATTCTTCATCAATATTTGTATCAGAATCATAATCAGTTATTAGTGATGATGAAGTAAATATTTATAGATCCGATTGAAGATCAATTGATATTCGACTGTCTTTGATTTTTTCATGATAAAAACAATTACGTATACGATGAAAAAATTTTAATAAATATCGACCAGCATGAATTATTGATGATAATCTAGGAAATAATAAATTTAAAAAAAATTAAGAAAAAGAAAAAAAATTACTCTTGATTGTCATGAATATTCATTTGATCTCGAATATCAACAAATGTAGATAGATTTCTTATTCATTTTTTGAAGGTTCTATTTCTTCTGTTATCGAATGATCTTGCAAATGCCATGAAATAAATATAACTTTTGATATTCGTCCATCTTTATTTATATTCATTGTATTAAATGCATGTTCATATAAGAATTTATTTATTTTATATTGACCAAGAAATTGTGCAACGAATTTTTTTCGGGAATTAAATTTTTTTCGTGTTATATAACCTTGATTATGAATATCAAAAAAAAATGAAAGAATATTGCAATTGTACGTAAACGACTAGCATCGATTATGGTTGATAATTCATAAATATATTCATTGAAATCTAATTGACCATCATGATTTTCATCTTATATATCAAACATCATTGGAAAAGATTTTTTACTTTTTCGAGAATTTTTATTTGTTGACGATTTTCTCTTATATACATCGAAGAAATTTTCGTTTCGAACAATATCTATTTGCGCAATCATGATAAAATGTTTTACGTGAAAAATTACTTTCATATTCAGAAAAAAAACTTGCTTTATTGTTATGAACTAATTCCATATTTGTGTGTCGATATTTGATAAGAATGATAAATAGTGATCGTTTTTTCTCTGACGTATATTTGAGATAAAATTAAAAAAATAACTCAACCGAGAAAGTGTAAGTATCATGATAATTGCGTACTATTTTCTGTTATTGTAAGATGCGGGGTAGGGTGTGGATGTGGGTGTGGTTCTCCTCTTCATTGGCACCCCACACCCACACCCACACCCACACCCACACCCACACCCACACCC